GGTCATAAAGAAATCGTTCTTTCCAGTCATACGTTTTTTAGGCCCCGTCTAAACTGCGCCGGGAGGAATTTGAAAACGCAGCTTTATTTCTACGGTAAGGCCTGCCGTTCACACTAATCCAGAACGAAAACGGAGCGTTTCGAAAACGCTCTTTAAACCGGAGGATTTGAAAACGTCGGCTTTGCGTTTTAGTATGGTGTGGAAGGAAAACATTTTGAAAACGGAGGTTTTCGAAAAAGATGACGTCTTGTTAATCATGTGATTAACCCTAACCCTCATGAGCATACCCAAGCTTTTCTGCCTCCGGTGATTGTTGGGTTGTCATATTTCTCCGGCGTAGTGTGGATGGGGCCTTACTTAGCGACAAGATTGTGTTGAAACTCCCGCAGCAAAGTACGGACTTGTTGCATCCCTCGCTGTGCAAACAAGGTTCGCGGCCTAAGACTCGAAGTGCTCTAAGACTAGTTTTGTTCCAATGGAATTGCTTTGTTCAGTATAAAAAGGTCTAATTGTTGCCTGCATTTCTTCGTCTTTAATCGACTATTTCGCTCCAGGGAGACGGAGTACGACCATACTGAAAGAAAATATACAAAAAATGGTTTAAAATAGCTTCAAACTGTTAATTCTCCTTACTAAACGTCATAACTTTCTTTTAATGCTAGTTACATGAGTTTGATACAACGTCAAGATGGTGATCTTGTTTATTCACATCACTTGTTTGCTTGATTGTGTATCAATGGTATTAAGTGAAATTTTCTGTAAATCGCTGACTATCACGTCAGCTTCAGACTGCGTTCCCTCCATCTATTTTCCAAGCTTTAATATATTTTCCTCTGCGATAAAGCATTTTTAGGCAGTCACGTTAGTCCTCCCTAGCAACAGAAAATACTTCTATAAAAACTGAACTTGTTTCCAAAACATGCCAGTTTTTTTTTCTAGTCCTGTAAGTTTTCAAGCTGTCTTACGTACCTGGATTGCAGTCAGCTCGTCGTAAAATCTTTTTGTAATCTCTAAGTTCTCCATGGTAGGAATCATGATGTTCTAAAGAAAGAAAAAGAAGAACTACAATGAAAAACTTACATCGTTGTTTTAACGTAGGAAGGACAAGAACGAAGAGGCACAGGGGAGTTGAAAGACTGGAAGACAGAGAGAGAACCCAACGCCAAGATTTTGGAAAAGTATATCAGCGCCCAAAGGTAAATTTACAGACTGTAATTTGACCACAGTACCTGCTAAGTTTCTTATTCACCCTGCAAATGTCAAAGGAGCTAAGTCACGGTTTGCGCATCTTAAAAAATGCAGCCTAACTTTTCCAAGTTGTCCTTTGCAATCCGTGTTAATCTTCTCCATCCTTAACCATCCTTGTCCCTTTATGGTTTACAATTATCTCTTTGGTGTTTTTCTACCTTAGTAAACTACAATTTTCAGGTTTTCTTCAATTCAAAGGTAATATAGTACATATCGAATAAGTAAGGCTTGAGGGAATATTGTCAACACAAATATTAGCGAAAGAAATATACGACGTTTCGACATCGTCGGATGTCATGGTCAAGTAAATGTGTAGCTTGGTTTTTGCATCATACATGGATCTACAATTATGCGCATAAGGTGGCAAAATACGTTAAGTGACAAGAAAACATATGACTATTAGGAAACGTCGTATGTTTCTTTCGCTAACATTTGTGTTGAAAAAATTTTGTACGTGGCGAAAATACCGTGAGTTAGCTCATTTAGAGGCTCATATCAGATAAAAATCTTTATAGATGAGTACGCAGAGGCTTTATATTTTTTGCTTGAAGTGAACTAAGAATTCTTACCTGTCCCTCGTAAAGAATTCTGTTCACTGGACACACTACACAAGCGGTACCAGCTCCGAAGATCTCTTTAACCTGCAAAGGTTAGAATTAGTAGAACAGTCGAACCTCCAGTAAGCGAACACCCAAAATGTCAAGCCTAGGTGGTCGCTTACGACAGCTCACAACATATTGTTACGAAATTTTGTCTCATAACCAGATGGTAACCGCAGAGACTTACCCCATGTTTTATTCATATGAGAAGTCAATTTCGAGAAAAATACGGTACTTCCCATTGAGAAAGTTCCGTCTTTTGTACTATCCAGGGATACCATAATGTTACGACATCTTATCATCCAGTTTCCGCTCTATTATCTAACACGTTGTCGCTTATGGGAGGTTAAAAACAAAACAAAATTTCAAACTTTTAGCTCTAAAAGTGGTCGCGGTCGTTTACGAGAGGTGGTCGCTTACAATAGGTTCCAGATATAGTGATTTGACTTGGACCCTTTTGGTATTTTGGAAAACTGGTCTCTGAGGAAAGGTGGTCGCTTACGAGAGGTGGTCGCAACCAGAGGTTCGACTGTATTTAAGTGAATAACAGTTCTTGAATGTTCAATAGTTACCTTGAGCAGCATATATGTGAATTTCTGGCCTGTTCATAAGGTATGGATGTTACTTGTTATACAGTCTAACCAGGGTATCTTTTGCAGGTTGCTCAAGAAACATACCGTTTAATTCTATGCCAGTTAACAATGACGCCAAACAAGAGCAACAATGCACAATTTGCCAGAGGGATGAACTAATGACTACTGACACAACTTAACAGGGTCACAAAATAAAGAATGCTGTCTTTAAGGTAGCAAAATCAGAGATTCGTGTCTTAAACAAGATGTATTGTATAGGTTTGGCTCCCAGAGGGTTACTTCCTTATGTGAGTTATATAGGGTGCCCCAAAGGGTAGGATTTTCAGCCATTTTGGTCATGAATAGGGTATGGTTTTTGCACTTTAGTCTTGAACTGGGTATGTTTATTAGAAGAAGCTACCTTTTCAGGTCATAAATAAAGCAGGGAAAATTGCAGATTTTGGTCATAAATAGGGTACTGGTTTTGTGAAACGGGCCACACACCCCCACCCAATTTTTCTGGGAGTACCCCCTTGGGGTTGGCTGTTGTAGAGAGGTGGCCGTTAGTGGAGGTTTAATTGTAGTTTGAAGATTGAACAGTCTGTACCCTGTTTTCCTGTGAAGCTTCAATAACGTCATCCATAGTGAATTCCTTTTCTGTCACTTTGAATTCTCCCTGAGAGGAAGAAAGAGGAGATTCACCTCAGTTTTAACTAGAAATTAAATATTATTTAGAACTGAATTGAATGGAATCTAGTAGCTAACTAAGCAACTATAGTCCTGAGCATAAACTCACCCAGCTCTTAGCCAGCTCCAACAAAGATTTCCGTGTGATTCCCGGAAGAATTAAACCATTGAGGGGTGGGGTAATCAGCTCCTTTTCTAAACAAGCAAGATGCATACATTGTTAGCAAATAAACAGAAGCAAACACCATTGTATTCATTTTATGGTTTTTATAATATGGGGGGCNTTGGGGAGGAACTCCAATATAAAAATTTTAAGGGTGGTCTTCGGAAATTTTGAACAGAACCCCTAAGAGGTACCAAGATCCTACTTTGTTGGTGTGGCATGAAAATTTTTTTCAACCCTAAGAGGTACCAAATATTCTAAAGCAACACATTAACTGACACTGACTTTCTTCAGCTCAATACCCTAAAAGGTACTGCAAAGGCTCCCACTGTGGACCCTTTGAGAATGAACAGCACTAAAACTGCCTTTTTAACCCCTAAAAGGTACGACGAACACCTCCGTCCTTTTTATATGGGACTCCCTGCAGGTATAATATCACACATTAACTGGTGTCTTTTGAACGACATTAAAAAAGAGAGAGCCTTTGTATCATTATTTAGAGACTAACCTCCATTCTTATTTATCCAAAACATGAATATGTTCATGGTGCCAACTTCTGTAATCTGTAAGATAAAAAGTATGAAACTGGAAAAATGAATAAAAAGAATTCTTCTCTGCACAGATATGCTGGCCAAACAGGACAATGAAGTTAGGATTTTGCTCCCAGAAAATAATATCAAAACACGTCTATGTGGTCTATGATACTGACAATTAAGCATTATGACCAACAAAGAAGAAATACACAAACCAATGAGTAATCAAGTGTGAGTGAAGAAACAAACCAATGATGAGTCCCAAACATTTAAGGTCATTTAATGAACAGAAAACGTTTTTTTTTTTCTCAAAATATAATTGCTATTATTTAGCCAATGTCAAATAATTACTGCCACCCAGTCATATAATAATTTCAAGACCTCTCACCTGACGATCTTCACCGTACAACCACAGAACCTGCTGCAAACCTTGCATTTCCGCATGCCGCTGAGCAAGGATGGTGGGGCCATAGTTTCTGTAAATTTTGAATTAAATGAAAAACCTTATTTTACTAAATTAATTACACACACTAGTTATCTCCAATTATCACAGCCTTGAATTAGTTTTTCATAATGTCAATAATGTCAATAATGCTAGAAATGCCAATATTATGCCAATAACATCAAAAACTGCACAGGGTTGACAACTTGAAGAATTGTATCAAAAGTATTGTTATGACACATGCAGAGCCATTTTTACAGTATGTAGTCACTGTGTGGATCAGGCAGCTGAGGGCACAGGCATCCCAAACTCACTATAGGAATTGAGTTACATTTAATTAATAGTTATACATTGAAGAAATTAATTTTAATTCCAAAATGAGACTTTTGCTTGCCAATTGCTACATTGCAGTGTCACGTACCCTCCCATCTTGGAGTCTCCACAGCCTCCTGGCCAGGCTCTTACAAAGGAAGGATCAGCCAACAGAGCAACAGGGCTGAATGTACCAGTCTTAAAGTATGGACCAACTGGCGACAAAATGACATACAACAGGGCAGATGAAGACTTGTTCACTCCAAGGGTGGGCTGAAGGATAAGAGGGATTTCAAACACAAAAGGTACCACAGAAAGTTTGTTATTTAAAGACTTATATTTAATTCAACAAAATACTTGTTGGTCTTGGATCACGCACGGTCACTAACATCATAGATAAAAAATAGAATATTGAAGGGACAGGTTAATTAAAAGGACAATTAAAATGTACATTTAAAACATTACTATTTCTGTGGGTGAGAAACATTGACCCCAAGTTATAATTTTACAGTTTACCGTTGAGGTGAAACTAGGGTATTGTAGTCCACAACTCATTCTTATTACATCTCTCTAAATTAATCAATCAATTGATGAGCAAATGAAAGTTTATACTGACCAAAGAAATGCAAGCCCAGTGCAGTTACTGCAAGTCTTACCTGTATTCCTATAAGTGTTGGCCTGATGTACAGCGAGCACTTGTTAGAATATGGAACCCATTCTCTTTCAATGCTAATAAGGTGTTTTAAACACTTGAGGAATTCTTCTCCATCAAAACCCTGCAATAAGGAGTGACAATTATTGAATTCTCATGGCATACCTTCATCCAATCTGATTTGATGATGATCATTATGCATTGTATTTGTAAACCCTGATGATTTTTTTTTATTTTGTATAAAGAAAGATAATTTAAAGAAAAAAGACTAATGAAAATATTATGAAATATTGATTTATGAGTGTTATCAATTCACTTACTGGAAGGCATGCTCTGTCAGCTGATCTGTTTAACCTTCTCATATTCTCCATTGGTCGAAATAATCTGATTTTGCCGTCATCTCCTCTGTAGGCCTTCATCCCTTCAAAACACTACCAACGAAAAAAATATACATAAACATTACCTTATTTTCAAATGCTAGGCAAAGGTTCCTCCTCTCAGGATCCCAGGGGATACTCCCTGGAGGTCCTGCCCAAAAGGGGCACCTTTTTCATGCTTTAGGTATGTAAAGGTTGCATAGTTCCTGGGCCTCAATATTTTGCTGCGGTCGATTGTTTTTGGGTCATGTGGTCTGGGGCAAAAAGTGTGGGCTATTCCGGGCCGTCCATCTCAGATATGTCACTAAAATCAATTGATCCTTTTTTAGCAATTCATTCACAATACCAGCCAGTTATGAAAGTATCTGAAAGGGGCACCTTTTTTTCAATTAATGGTATACAAACGGGGTACCGGTACCTTTTCTGTCAAAATGATNATACCAGCCAGTTATGAAAGTATGTGAAAGGGGCACCTTTTTTTCAATTAATGGTATACAAACGGGGTACCGGTACCTTTTCTGTCAAAATGATATACCAAAGGGTAAGGGGTTGAACCTTGGGCCAGGGCCTACCTGTATAGAACTTTGTAGAGAACCCCCTGAGATCACAACATAAGTAGTAAGAATGTAATCTCTCTTACTAGTAGTGTCAACAATCAATCCTAACTTACCTCCAAAGCATAATGAAATACTGAGCACGATGGAGCAAGAGACAAGTTTTGATATGGCATCACTTTTGGCTCACCCCAACCACTGTCAGCAGTCCATTCAACACTGAGCATGTGATCTGTGAACTCTGCGCCAAATACTAACGAATTGATATCTGGCTTGGGCTTCGGAGTCTTGATCGGTTCAACTACAAGGCTGTCATACTACAGATAACAAAGATAAATTAAATGTGATAGTGATACAAAGGGAGAGTATGATGTTCTGGAGGGGGTGGTTGTGAAAATAGTTTATGTGGGCAGTAATATGCCTAGTCCAAAATAAGGTGCTATGACCACAAAGTGATCTAAATACAGTGTTCATGTAGACCAAAGGCTGGTTCAAACCCTATCGTTCAATTAAGTTCAACTGGGTTGGACTGAGTTTGATGACTGAACAGTTTGATTAGTAATGTTGGGAATACATAAAAAAATGACTTAACAGTTATTTTACTTCTAGCTTTAATTCTGCCATGCCACATGAAACTACAATTAATCTGCTCGCATTGATTGCACTCCATAAATTTGATAAATGCAACAATAAATGTAGCTTACATGCGTGTTACATACCTTAATATCGGAATCTGTGGAAAGCCCTCGAATCTACAGATTAACAGCAGACAATATGTGTAAAATAACTGACAATGTGTAAAATAATTGTAAAATGCGTCAAATAATTAGTAAAATAATTAAGTGTAAAATAATTGACAAGCTGGTGATCAAGCCGGCTTTAAAAGATAAGCCAATCTAATTGCTCATCTTGTGGTTGTTAACAACGCCAGTAATATTACTTAGCTTCGTACTACTTTGTGTTACACAAATTTAGGACTGTCTCTCAAACAGAGCAAACTAAAATTAAAATTGCAATCGCCGCTTCGTTTTAATGTAAAGCTTACATCAATATTAATTTTATGGTGGTTGGTTTTATGATAAGTTAGATCTACATACAAAGAAAGGACAGCAATATTAAAATCATTTCATCGCAAAGTAACAATAGAAGTAGTCATTTTCGCCGGACAAAAACGGAATCCCCAGAAGATTATAAATTTGCAAATAATCTGCGAAATTTCCAAATTAGCAGTGATCGTGACATAATTGATTTACCGAATACTGAAATTGTAGCGCCTCATAAAGATTGCAGATCACTAAAAGCAAGCACATGGAAACCTTACCAGGAGGTGCGGCTTTAGTTGTTTAGCTGATGTGCTTGAAAAAGCAGAAAGCCGGAAAGAACTAACACAAATCGAACCAAACTTCGTAACACGCGACGCCATCTTGCTTTTTTTTTATGATTTCCGTGAGCTCCTGGTGCGGTTTTGGCGATTAACATACGTATTATGATTGGCTGTCAAAGTAGGCGGGGTGGAGGTGTGGTCAGGCGCGAGCCTGCGATCAGGTGTTCTTTTTTTTCGAATTCTGCCGGCCAAGAGGGAAAAAGAATGCGTGATCGCGGGTTAGAAATGCCCTGAATTGAGCCAAATTCTCGCTTAGCTTGAGAGCAGGCTTCCTAATGAAGTACAAGGTAAAAGATACAGGAAAGCTTCAACGAGTTCCCCAGAGATCTTTCTCTCCAGACTTCTCGCGGCTTCTCAACTTTTCTATACCGCTGACTTCTGACATGACCCCACTAGCCTGCGTAGCAGTCTTTTCCGTTTCCTTTCAGGCAAGCAGGAGTCGCGCGAGGGCATGGAGACAGAGATAACAAAAAAAAAAAACCATCCCCTCCGTTCCTAACTTTTTGCCCTCGCCCCATGCGTTTACGCGACTTCCCCTAAGCTCTCGCTTTCTCCCGCTAAGGGGGGTGGAGGGGGAGAGGGGGGAGGCGGGGACGGAAAGGACTGCTACGCAGGCTATGACCCCACCTGTTTAAAGTCTTTGCCAATTATCTTTCACTCATCTACACTGTACTGATACTATAAAATATGCTCATCCTTTTAAACGAAAACGCTTTCCTGTTGTATCAACAACTGAAAAGGAGCAAAAAAATAACTACTAAGCATAAGTGCAGACGTCTCCTATTTCAGAGAAAAAGTAAAGTCATTTTTTCCGTGTGAAAGGAAATAGTGGACTTCTACACGCAAACTGCAAAATATCCTTTGCTCTTTTATTGCCCACTTTCACTTTGTAACTACGTCATTGTCGAGTATTTTATTAACACTCACTGTGAGCTACATGAAAGCACGTG